CCATTTGCCTTTAGAGGCGTGACAATGGGGGTCTCCCATGGGCTGGAATCAACAGGTTCTAGGATTCCTTGTTGGATTAGTTTGTCTAATTCAGTGTCAATCTTACTTTTTAAAGCAAAAGGGACCCTTCTTGCTTTAATCCTAATGGGAGTGACAGTGGGGTCTAGCTTTAAGGACACAGGTGGTCCTTTGAATGTGCCCAGCTGGGGGCTGAAAACATCTGCAAATTCCTTGCAGACTTCCTGTAGGTCGAGTGTTTGTAAGCTGTTGAGTCCTGTGACGTGTATCCCCAGGGCCTCAAACCAATCGAGTCCTATGAGACTCGTTCTTTCACCCCCTACTACTAACAAGTCTAGTGGACCTTCAAAACTCTTGTATTGCACGTTAAGGGTGGCCTCCCCCTTAACACACACTCTTGAGTTCTGAAAATCAGTTAATACAATATCAGAAGGCCTTAACTTGGCCTTAGTCCCACTACTGGAACAAATCTTCCTAAATGTATGCAATGAAATGATGGAAAGGGCAGACCCTGTGTCTAGTTCCATAGATAATGGAACCCCTTGTAGCTTCACGTTGAGTGACAGCTTTTTCTTCATGGGCTTGTGTGTGCCTGTCCTACAGATGTTTCTACGCGAAGCGCAAAAACCTACCCTATTCTGGCTGGGGACTCTGGTACCCTTCAGGCGTTCTTCTTGAGGTTGTGCCTTTCGTCGGCCCAGACACACAGCTGCAATGTGCCCTTGTTTGCCGCATGCCCGGCAGGTAGCGGAGCGGAACTTGCAGTCGGTTCTCCTGTGGCGACCTCCACAGCCGATGCACTTGAGCGGAGCTGAAGAGCTTTCCTTCTGATTTTCTCCCTTCGCGGGGTGTAGACGGTCGACTTATTCGTCCGGATCCTCCTCGGAGTTTCGTCGGACGTCTTCTTGGTGCACGGACGCACCCTCTGCACTGCTTCTGATCGGCCGCATGTTCTTGACGGCGCCGCCTGCTGCTTCTTCCGCGGTGGCTTCCCTTAAAGCGTCTTGGAAGGATAATTCTTCCTTAGCGAAAAGTCTCTGTGGTAGCTCTCGATGCCTCAACCCGCACACGAATCGGTCCCTCAGTCGTTCCTCGAGGTCCTTGAACTCGCAGGGCTTGGCGGCCTTCCGTAACGCGGCGATGTACTCCTTGGCTGACTCCCCGGACCGTTGATCCCTCTGCTCGAAGGTGTGGCGCCATGAGATAACGGACACCTTGGGTTGGAAGTGGTCCTTCAGCAGCTTCTTCAGGTCTGCGTAGCTTACAGACTCTACTGGAACAGGTGCTGCAAGGTTTTCTGCGATTTCGAAGGCGTCTTGGCCGCAAGCGCAAAGCAGGGTGGCAGCCTTCAAGCTATCTTCCCTCACTTGGTTTGCCTTGAAGTAGTTCTCCATTCTGGATACGTAGGACTCCCACCGCTCTGGATGTGAGACGTCGAATTCCGCAAGCCTTCCGATTTTCGCCATCTTCGGATCTTCAGGAGACGGGTCTATCAGCCAGCCTACCCCCGAATGCGCACTGGATTGGCGGGCAGCTGCTGAGTCAACACCGTTCCTCTTCCGCCGCTCAGGACTCCTTGGGTAAGCTTACACTTTTTCCTTTCCAGGTAGTGCAAGGCATCCCACCTTCGTCGCCAGTGTTGCGTCCTTGGCGGGAAAACAGACACGAGAAGCAGCTGGAGTTCTCAGGTTCTTTTATTCAGCGTTCAGCTTACAGGAAGATGGCTTCAGCTCAGCCCAAACGCCTCGCAGCCCCTTATATAGGCAACTCCCGGGTAAATGGGTTACTTTTCCCGCGCCAGCACCCGCGCATGCGCACGGCGCTGGCGACAGCCTGTCTGGTCCCGGGCAGCTTTGCACCTGCCCGGGACTGCCTGCAAACGCCCGAGCCGTTTGCAAAGGCTCGGGACATAACAATAACTATTTAATTCTAGCTCTACTCTATATTCAAATTCAAATTCAAACTAATTATAGTGGATGTTTAGCAGAACTCTAGTTTCAACTTTAGGAAGCAGGCCTTATTTTGTGCATGTTGAAATAAATAAAATCTTAATAATGGTTTAATTTCTGTGTAGTTTTTAAAATCTATACCTTAAATGCAGGAATAAAGAGCCTTTTAAAGCCATAGCTTGTATCTTTGCTTTTTCTAAAATGTTTATTTTTGTGGAGTTTCTAACATCACTCCTTTTAAAACTACAGTCTGCTTTAATTTTTCTGAATATTAAAGACTCATAGTTCAGGCAATTTTAACTAGAAAACATAATATTTCCACCTTGTAATAGCTGTAGTTCAAACCTCTTTCAGGAGCAGAATTCAACTGTTATGAAAAAAATTAACTGGTATCTGTTATCTCAGCTAGGAGGAAAATTGGTTTCATCCTAATGGAGATAATATTTTGTTATCAGTTCTCTTTGGTTCTCTAGTTCTGTCTTTTTTATTTTAATTTTTATTGAACTATATTTGTAATTTTGTAATTTTCTTTTTTTTCCTACTTGTGGTCATAGACTGTATTTACTACTACTGGTAAATAAAAGGGAACAGAGAAGTGAAATTACACAAGAAGATATTTAGGCAAAGATTTCGGCTTTCTTAAAGGAGCAATCTCAAGAAAAATTTTTTGCGGTATGGGAAAAATGGATAAATTTTATACAACATAATTTGGATATGGAAAAATATTATTTAGCCTTTTTATAATTTGTAATGATTGTTTTTTCTCTCTTTCTTTCTTCTTTTTCTTTTTTATATATATACATTTTTTACGTATTATTATTCATATATTTTTTTTTTTATATATATATGCTTTATTTTTCGTCTACTTTCTTCTTTCTTCTTTCTCTCTCTCTCTTCTTTTTTCATTTTTTTTTCCTTTTTAGTATATATTATTCATTTTAAAGTTTATGTTATGTATATTATTATTATATATATTATTACTGTGATTTTTATTATTATTATTAATTATTTTATAAATTGCAAATGTTATTTTTAAAAAATTTGTTAAATAATCCTATATTCAGTTCTGGGAAGTCGGGGTGGGGTGGGGTGGTTGGGGAGGGGGGGTGGATTCTTATTTGTAAAACTTTTGAAAAATTTTAATAAAAAAAAAAAAAAAGAAGAAGATATTTCAAGCATAGGAGTCAACCAGATCATTTGACTGATCCACCAATACAATTCTAAATGTTCTATTCATTGAGTTCTTATAATGTTGAGAGCAACATACTTATTTAAACACAGTATTTCCTAGGCACACCCTTTTATATTTCTGGGATATGCTGAATGCCAACCATATCCTAGAGATGTTTGCCTCTAACTTCAGAGTACCTTCTTTCTAAGAAAGATGCCTAAACTGTCTACGGAAGGCAGATTCAATCAAGATATAGTAGTTATTTCAACTATTCCTGAGATGTCAATCCAGTCTTATCAAGCATGTGTAAGGCAGAAGGTGCTGATTGCTATATGCAAAAGTAAAAAGTAAATAAATTTAGATTATTTCTCTCTTCAGAAAGCAGATTCAATGTAATGCATTACTAATACCTATAAGGGAGAAAAACACATTGCCATCATAACAGCAACAAATGGAACCAAGACTGTCTCTGGTGATAAAGTCTCCACCTTTAATGTTCCACTTTGAAATTCCAAACAGACCATTTCATATCACTTGTTTTCCTTCTAGTCCAGTCTCAAAGACTGTTCTGCATTTCTTTGACCATTCTCATGCATTTTGATGTGAATCAAATTGCTTTTGAATAGTCTTTTTTTTTAATGTTCATTGTTTGGTATGGAATTTTTTAAAGTTGTCTTAACTACTGGGTAGCTGAAAGCTCCTTCTCATATAATCATCCTTTTAGCTGTCTGCATCATCTTTGGCTTTATATATCTAAGATCTCTTACCTTAGGACATTGCAGGCCAGACAGTGTGGACAGCAAAGAAGATTAAAGAAAGAGAGAGATCGGGGAAGCAAATAACCCCTGCTATCTTGAAATCAAGTAAGTTCTTAAACATAATCAAAATAAACTATAAAGAAATGTTAGTATCCTGAGAATAGGATAGAAAAACTGAATGAGAAAAGGAAATAACAAGTGGTGGAGAATGGATAGACTTTAGTTCAACATTAGTATAGATCAAGTATTCCAACAGCTGGTTCCAATTTGTTATAGAAAATTAGAAACAGTAAATTCAGGAAGCCAAGCAAATATCTCCATGTAGATTTGTTGCATATATATGCCAAACCATCTCCATTTTTCTGAAGGTTCCAAGGACCATAGAATGTTGCTAACACAAATCCTGAAGGTGACCAGCAAGACATCATAGGATATATTCAAAAGCAACTGCATAAAACTCATATTTTGCAGCTGAGGAAAATTGATATTCTTATGATCACTGTAGCAGTTTTCTTGTTAGAGACCCACAATACACTGCAAAATACCTTTCTAACAATAGCTCTGGTCTGCAGGAGAACATCAGCATTCCCTGTTTATTGCAGGTGGTGCCAAAATATTCACAATGCTGAGATAATTATCCTTTTGCACCTGCAATTACTGTGCTTAATTTTCTGATTCAACATGCTGTTTTTAGACTAGATAGTATCCAATGGCGCCATGCAATATGTTTATGTTGAAAGTCATGAAGCCTAGGAGGCTATAAGAACTGACTTTTCCAATATAAAAAAAATAAAAGTTTATCTTCATTAATACTTACTAGAGCACCTTTAGCTTGTACATCTTTTGCATTCTTCTCCTTGTCTCAAAGATGTTTATTTTTTCCAAAAGGCAAGAAGAAGAAGAAGAAGAAGAAGAAGAAGAAGAAGAAGAAGAAGAAGAAGAAGAAGAAGAAGAAGAAGAAGAAGAAGAAGAAGAAGAAGAAGAAGAAAGAAGTTGTTTTGCTTCTCATCCAAGAATCTTCATCAGTTGTAATTTATGAATGAAGTTTCTTGGATGAGAAGAGAAACTTCTTCTTCCTCCTCAAAAATAAATAAATAAATAAATAATAAACATAGTCCAGTTGCCTTTTGAAAAAAAAGAAAGAAAGAAAAATTACCCTTGAGACAACTCTGACCCAGATGTCAGAGAATCCATAGACATTCTTCTCTTTGTTTATCTTCACATGAGGAGCATGACAAGATGGATCACTAAAATGAAAGGTAAAAATCTCCTTCAAGGTGAGCTCAACATCTGGTGTCACTTTTTTGACAGCTATTGTCCTCTTTAAGGATTTTCTGTTCAGTTTCATAATCTAATCTACAGCCCTTGTATTCCCTGGAGAAATTCCAGTAAGTACTAACCTAGCCAGATCTTGGCTAACTTCCAATTCTAGACAAGACAAGCAAAGTGCTGCCATCTGCTGAGATAATGAATCACTATTGTTGTCCTGTTCACAGAGCAGAAAATGAAAATGAAACCAAAGTGATTTAGCAATTTTTAACAGATTTTGTTGGGAAAGGAGCATCCATTAAATCTGAATATCCCTCAAACTTCAATTTACATAATCTATATAAATTTACAGAGTTGTATAATTTACATAATTTTTCGTACTTCAGATAAATAGACAGTTTTAAGCAGTTATGCAAGTTGTATGAGATTTTAAGGTAGATTATGCAAATTTTTGTAAATTGTACAGACCTATCCGCCAAACAGCAGACTTTTACATTATTTGAGGGTGAAGATCAATATGAACAATTCATTTATTCAATTTGGAGACTGCTAAATGAGGGCCATTAAAATGTTGAAAAGGTTTTATAGTTTGAAATATTGGTCCCTTTTCTAAAACACCGTTCTATATAAAAAAGCAGAAAACAAAAAAGTCACAACATATCCGGTTACCACTAGACACGGGTGAAATTGCTTCCTGCCATTTTTATTATGGAATCTTTAATTTTTGTTCTTTCTGGATAGGTGGGCAGACCTTCAAATCAAGTTAGAATAACTTTTCATTTCTGCCTTAAAGAGCCTAAGTGACTTCATAAGTATTATAATATTGATATCCACAGGTGGCAATTTGCTTTGAAACTTGCCAACCTCTCAACTTATTTTTATAAATTGAAAGAACCTTTAAAAAAGCTATGTAGGGCAGGAAAGTTAGGCAACAAGCTAAATATTGAGAAGCTCGGTAAATGTCCCTAAATACCATGTTGCTTATCCTTAAAGTAGGTAGTCCTTTAAATAATGTGGATATAAAACCTTTTACGCTTTTGAATTGCAAGACCAGGACTTTGAACTCAGAAAAAACTGGTGCAACTAGTCAGGACAGCCTTCCATCTGGGAAGACTCAGAATGGTGAGTTTAGATCTAAGAGTTAATCATCTCATTTCTCAAAATGAGACACAAAATGACCCAGCAAGAAGATTTTATATACTTCAGCTCTAAACTGCTTTGTGCAAATTAGCTAAGGCAACTGTATCTGGCTGCAGAAAGCAGATGATGTCTAGATGGATGCAAAGAGTTAGAGTTCTCTCTGTTGGTATATGAAACACAAACAGGATTGTACATCAAATCTCTACTCCCTATCTCCATACATTAAATGTACAGTGAACACATGGGTATAAAAACTGGGCTTCAACAGGAGAAGTAAAAACCCAGTTGACCAATAGATGGCAGCAAACTGATAGGTTTCTGGGTTTCTTTCCTGCCCTAAAGCAGGGGTCTCCAACCCCTAGTCTGTGGGCCAGCACCGTTCTGCGGCATGTCAGAAACCGTTCCATGCAAACAAGTGAAGCGCCATCCATGGCATGCAGGCAGCATACAAAACCATGCCCCCTCCAGTCTGCAGAAAAACATCTTTCCATAGAACTGGTCCCTAGTGCCCAAAAGGTTGGGGGCTACTGCCCTAAAGTGATTGTCCAGACTTTTCTAGTCCAGATGTAGCAGCAAATAGTTACAGTCATGTGATGTGTCACTTGATGATCGTGGGTGATTCACTTAACAACTGCAGCAGAAGTGAAGTCATTAGTCTATTGCAGAAATAAGATTTTCCACTTAGCAACCATTGCTGTTAGCTGGGACTACCTGTAATATTTAAAACCTGGAAAACAGGTGCTCTTTTCCATATATGGTACCGTATTATCTCAGTTATTTAGTATTGCAAAGTGATATGAATATCCAGTGTTTCTGTCAGTCACTGCCACATAGGTTGCTGCCCCACTCCAAAAGAAATATCTCCCAATGATTAAAATTCTTCATAGAAGCATATAAAATTACATTATTGGAGAATGACCAGTCTCTGAGTATTTCTGCATAGCTGCTGGTTTTAATTATGTTAAATAGGATCAAGAGTTTGATCTTCCTATATCGCTTGTTCACCCCTACAATTGGAGTCCCTCCTTTTATGCACACTTCTTCAGAAGTGCCCCTGCAGAGTTCTTTTTCTTGATCATGAAACAAGATCGTATTATGGAAATTAAGAATAATCTCTGGCAATACCTGCAACAGAGGAATAGTTGCTGAAAACGATAGAATTTGCTAAAATAGCCAAATTTACCTCTTGGTTAGAGAAAAGACAATACTATTGCTGGCTAGAAACCCCTTATGGACTTTTTGTGGAAAACGGAAAAGAATTAACTTATGCTCTATATTTTTGACAATTAGGTAGGATACATTATAAAGTAAGGGTAAAGTTTTCCCTTCCTAGGTCATGTCTGACTCTAGGTGGCAGTGCTCATCTCCATTTCTTAACTGAGGGAGCCAACATTGTCCAAAGATGCTTCCATGGTTATGTGACCAGCATGACTATATGCTGAAGTGCACAGAATGCTATTACCTTCCACCAGTGGTACCTATTTATCTATTCACATTTGCATGCTTTTGAATTGCTAGGTAGGCAGAGCTGGAGCAAGTAATGGGAGCTCACCACATTGGATGGCGCTCTAGTCTTGAACTCGGGCTGTCAGCTTTCTAGCTGATAAGTTCGGTGTCTTTAACCCCTGAGCCATCTAGCCCTATATGTAGCTTGTTTAACTTATGCTAAAATCCAATCCAGTTTTGAGGACGTGTGATAGAAAGATCCTTCCAGAAGATTTTGCTAGTGTGGACTATAAGCAATTTTGTTTGCTCCTTTCAAATACGCTATTGGTAAAGAACAAAGGTGAACCGGGTGTTTCAAATTTTCAAATTTTCTCTTAGTGGTCCATCATCCTAGCTACTCAAGCTTCTTATTAAATATCTCCTCTTTTAGCTGCACTGATTGCTTCCCTAATATATATAATGAAATTCAAGTTGTGGATTCTGAGATGAACTGCCTGAAGTGAATTTGGTTGTGTAAGAAAAAGGATTATAATGAAGGAGAAAAGGAAATGAACAAAGAAATTATCTCTCAGTGGGGGAATATATTTAATTGACATATATGAGAAGAACAAAGGAAAGGGAAGAGTCTGCTTTATTACAAGATAAACGCTGCACAGTATCTTCACCTTTAATCTGTATTTATAAGACAGCTTTATGGTAATGACCATCTTTGCTCTTTTATCTTTTGTCATAAGAGATCCTTCTTATGACAAAAGATAAAAGAGACCCAGCTCTCCTTTCCTTCTCCTTCTCCTTCTCCTTCTCCTTTTCCTTCTCCTTCTCCTTCTCCTGGAAATCTGGAAATATATTTTCTTACTTGGAGATATGAAATTCATAGAGACTGATATTAAATTGAAATAAGCATAATCTTCAAATGATTTTGTAAGTGATTTTGAAGTAAAATCCAGACCCCTATATTCTTTGCCATCACTATGTACTTTGGTTGGGGAAGAAAACAGTCTACATGTTTTATGCTGCAGTCTGCACCTTCACTATTCTTATAAATCCTGATGTCTGGAGATTCTCAGTCCTCTGGATCGTGGTTGTCTCAAAGTCTTTGATACTATCAATCCTGATCTATAAATCAAAACTACCTTATCCACAGTAATTGTTGGGTTTAAGATAAAATAGTCGAGATTAACCAATGACATACTTAGAGCACAGCAAACTCCAATCATGCTTATTTGTAGACAAAGTTATTGCCCTACTTTTTCTCCTGGCATTAGGATTCTGAATTACAGCATGTTACTTAGATCTAATGGAACTCAGGAGAATTCTACATATGGCTAAGTAAATATTCTGACATTTTATGAGCATGTCTCAAAATCTTTTTTGCGGGACACTGGAAGGGGGTCTTGATAGGTTAGGATTAGAGGGGGACCAGTCCAGACAAGGTATCTTGCTCATTACAATTTCATTTCTGCCTTGGTGGAACATCTAATGGGTGATGGTCTTTAGAATAAAAGGCAAACTAGAGGGATGAGTTGAATTTCATATTTGTATCAGTTTCATCTGTGTTTTTTAGCACCCTGGTGATCAGTGGGGTGACAGATGTTGCGCCAAATTGCCCTGACGTCTGCTTTTTAGCACCCGTATCACCAAGGCCAGGACATTTTACTGAACAAGATAGCTCCCTTTTCAAGGACCTGAACATGACAGTAGCTCAATCTTACTTTAAAGTTGTTGCTAGGATAATATTTTCCATCACAGATAAGTCAGTAAATTGTTTAGGAGCCAGATGACAAGTATGTAACATACAGAATTTAATCCTTCAGCAGAAGGAAACAGGTAGCAAGGTCATGCTGTAATGGCTGTCATTGTTAATTTTAGGAATCTTATTACCAAAACATCACTGTAAGTGCAAGCATACATATGTGTAATATTCCTTCTATCCCTTGTCCTACTTCAGATTTTTTTTCTCTTTTGTGTCTATTGTAAATCTCCCAGGACAATGAGCTGCCTCATTGCAAAAGACTAAGAACATGGAAGATTACTCAAGATATGAAAAGAAGTACTATACTTGATCTTAGCCAAAAGGTTGAGAAACAGAGTAGATTTAGCCAGAGTATCCTCCACCCCCCCTCCAAGATTGTATTCCAGGAAATGCTAAATATGTCTTGGAGGACATCTGGAGAAAAAGCAATAAATGTGTATCCTAAATTCAAATTACATTCCTAAATTACTTTCTTTTACCATAGATGTCAGCCTTTTCTATTCAGGTTGTTAAGGCTTCTTCACCATTTTCAGCTGTAAAACTCCTGCATACTCCAAACAGCACAATTATCAGATATTACATATAGTCAGGAATTTTAATTGAATGTAGACTCTTTTTGCCTTGTATAACCCTCTTTTTATTGATGTGAATTGTTCCAATATAGCCAGCCAACAAATCCAACTTTTCACCAATTACTAGCTAGGAATGAACAAATCAGAGAAAAGAAATGGAAGGCTTCTGTCTGATGACTTTTTCGTTGTGTTTTGCTTACAGCAGCCAAAACTTGCTGGTTACAAGTCTTCACTGCTTCCAAGGCTGTCCAGGTAACCTCTGTCATTGTGTGATTACCAGATAAGTTTGAGAACTGCTGTTGAAGAGAAAACTTCTAAGATAAGAGCTTCATTCACCTGAGCCACTTTGTAAAGAGCTACAGTTCTGCCAAACTTTTTGGTGTAATTCTTTTCTTATTTCTTTCAACCGCACACACTGTGAGATACTAATAGGGAGGTTCTGTCAGCAGGCTCCAGATTTAGTATTTAGAATCATCATCTTGATGTGCAAGTCTCTCTACCAATAGCACTACATTTTAAAACTTCCCTTGAAAGATAATAATCAGATTATAGGTGGAGGTACTTATAAACTCTCTTCAGATCTATGTATTAAGAGAGGCGATGGTGAAAACAAAAAGGTGGAGACATTTGGGAGAGCTTATAATTTGCTTTGTCAAGGTTTCTTCTTGTACATGCAGGATGAATATCTGCACTGGACTGGTGATTATGTACGAAAAGATTGGATGCTTTGATTTTGCCATGCCCATGCCATGGATTAAGCCCATCACAAAGTAAAACTGAATATCTTTAGAAAAATATTAGTAATAGCAAGTGTCTACATGAAGATTGTATCAACTTCACATATTTGTCTCGTGCCCTGAAGACACCTGCATTTGTATTAGAGAGTGTCTGATGAATATCTCTTGTTCTTCAAGATTATATACTATAGGATTCCTGTATAAAAACAAGAGATGCTAAAATAAATAATAATAAAGTTGGAAGGGACTTTGGAGGTCATCTAGTCCAACCCCTGTTCAGGCAGGAAACCCTATTAATTTCAGACAAATGGCTGTCCAGTCTCTTCTTAAAAACTTCCAGTGTTGAAGCATTCACAGCTTCTGGAGGTAGGTTGTTCCACTGATTAATTGTTCTAACTGTCAGGAAATTTCTCCTTAGTTCTAGGTTGCTTCTCTCTTTGATTAGTTTCCATCCATTTCTTCTTTGTCCTGCCTTCAGGTGCGTTGGAGAATAGCTTGACCCCCTTTTCTTTGTAGCAACCCCTGAGATATTGGAACACTGTTATCGTGTGTCTTCATTAAACTAGACATACCCAATTCCAGCAACTGTTCCTTATATGTTTTAGCCTCCAGTCCCCTAATCATCTTTGTTGCTCTTCTCTGTATTCTTTCTAGGGTCTCAACATCTTTTTTACATCATGGTGACCAAAACTGGATGCAGTATTCCAAGTGTGGCCTTACCAAGGCATTGTAAAGTGGTATTAACACTTCATGTGATCTTGATTCTATCCCTCTGTTAATGCAGCCTAGCGCTGTGTAGGCTTTTTTTGCAGATGCAGCACACTTCTGGCTCATATTTAAGTGATTGTCCACTAGGACCCTGAGATCCCTCTCACAGTTACTACTATTGAGCAAGGTACAACTTATACTATACCTGTGCATTTGGTTTTTCTTGCCTAAATGTAGAACCTTTGGTGTTTGGTTGTAAGAGGTCCAGTGATAGGAGACTGATATTTGTAGATTCTTTGTAGTACTGTGGTAGGAATGTGATTTAAGGTAGTCTTAAATCCTTAAGTCCTATGGTTAGATGAATCTGCTTTCTCCAATTGACTTTGCTTTTCAGAAGTGGTCTGTGACGGTTGGAAATGGTGTTCACATGACACTGGGACATTTCAATTGTTGGACAGGATGTTTGGTTTTAAGGACCCTGATATTTTTAGATTTGTGGGACACTGCAACTGTTCAAGCATTTGCTGGTTGCCATGTACTTGAAATTTAATCACTGTGACCATGGGGATGCTGTAATGGTCATAAGTGTGAAGATTGGACATAAGCCACTTTTTTCAGTGCAGTTGTTACTTAGAATGGTCACTAAATAAATGATCATGAGTCAAGGGCTACCTGAATTTTGAAGTTTGCTTTTATTTATATGGATTAGCATATTTAATAATATTAATGCACTCTTTTGTCCTTTTTCTGTAATGATTGTTTAGTGATATGCATTCACCTTTATGAGTCATTATAATTGCACTGATATTAATTTGTAACTTGAGACATTTATGGGTTTTAGCCATAATACTCCAGAAGAAGAAATATTTTTGAGGACAAATGGCATTTTATCTGTATTATTTTTTGGAGATTGCATCTTGACTACAAAGCTCCAGGTAACCACTAGATGGCAGAAAATAGAAATAAATACAAAACATTCTACCTATTTGCTGCCATCTATTGGATCACCTACTCACTGGAAAAGGCAATTATACTCAGAATAGTTGGTAGAAAAGGAGAAAGGAAATGAGGCTGCCAAAATGAGGCTAGACATCATTAAATGAGGAAATGAGGCTAGACACCATTAAAGCCAACACCTGCCAAAACATAAAACAATTAAAAGAAACTGTACAAAATTAGAAAATGTAAAAAGAACTGGCCCACAGAATCGCTGAAAATTGAATATAGTTGAATGGATAACATCATCAGGGGATTGATTGGGGTTTTTTTAGTTCATGTTAGCTAATCCTAATTCTTTATATTATTTAGGGTCTGGTACAATCTCTATTTTAAGAAAAGAAATGAAAGTTTAAAGATGCTGTTGTATTGGTTAATAATATGCCTTAAATAATCAATTTACCAGTGAAAGTTGAATTTATCAAGCTTGGATTACAATTAAATTTTGTATTCCTGACACTTCAAAACCTGAACTGAAGAATTTGCTCACATTTGTCCTTTGAAATGGATTTCTACTGATCTAAAGAAATACCATTGAAAACGGATCTCTATGGACAAAGGTTAGTTCATTGTTTAAATGCTGAGTTATCTTTCCATATCTATTGTATGTTATGTATGCATTTTGTTTCCTATTCCCCTTCATTTTGTCTTTTTTAATTCATATTTGCTTTTCTCTTTATTTGTTAATTAAATTTATACAGCCACCTATCTCACAAAATACAATAATCAAAAAAACTCCTCTTAGGGTTGATGGACAAATAGCTTGAAAGAAAATTTGAAACTTTATTACTATCTATGTTGACAACCATGACAATTTTATATGCACAAAGATGTAAAGATATACCAATTCCCACAATGGAAGAATGGCTGGTAAAGGTGATAGAGTTTGGAGAGATGGCAAAACTGACTGTTTTCATTAAAGAGAAAAAACAACATCTAGTTTTGTTTCTATTTGGAGACTACTTCTGGATTTTGTACTCAAAACTGGAAAAAAAAGTCTAGATGATTATAATGATTTGTCCTAGAAATGGCTTGAATTTTTTAGAAATGTAAAGCAAAAAGTTTAAGCTAAAATTCCTTTTATATTCTATTGCACTGAAAAACTTTGGAAGTCACTACTGTTTTTTGGGGGGGGTGTCTCTCTTTTAACTTTCTTAATCTTTGTATTTTATCTTCTAATACACAGGTCCCCAACCTTTTGGGTATCAGGGACCAGTTATGTGGAGAGAGATTTTTCCATGGACCGGAGGGGCATAGTTTTGTGTGCTTCCTGCATCCTATGGATGGGGCTTTCCTTGTTTGTGCGGACTGATTGCTGGCATGCCGCGGCCTAGTACTGGTCCACGGACTGGGGGTTGGGGACCCCTGTTCTACTAAACTTAAATAAAAAAAAATTCTGATTTAAAATCAAGTAACAGCTACAGGTAATCCTCGACTTATGACCACAACTGAGCTCAAAATTTCTTTTGCTAAGTTAGACAATTGTTAAATGAGTTTTGTCCAATTTTATGACCTTTCTTGCCATAGTTGTTAAGTGAATCATTGTAGTTATTAAGTTAGTAACACGATTGTTAAGTGAAATCTGGATTCCCCATTGACTTTGCTTGTCAGAAGGTTGCAAAAGGGTATCACATGACCACAGGACACTGCAACTGTCAAGTGACTGAATTTTGATCTCGTGACCATGAAGATGTTGTAATGGTTGTAAGTGTGAAAAATGGCCATAAGTTATTTTTTCCAGTGCTGTTGTAAGTTCAAACAATCTTGACTAAACAAATTATTGTAAATCAAAGACTACTTGTATAAAAACAGACCATATAAAACATAAAATCCAGATTAAAATAAAATTATGGAAACAATATCCCAACTCCAGGCAAAGGGAGTATAAGAATGGGCATCTAGCAATGGAACCATCTCACCATCTATCAGTCTCAGATCTGGGAAGATAACCAGGTCTTGTGGAAATGTTATAATATCAAAATGCATGGACCTAAACTATCGGGGAAGGGAAGAATATTTCGTAAAGGCCATGCCACAGCGGAGAATGCACATCTCCTGGGATCCACCAAATGTGGGTCTCTAGGTGATGGTACTTGCAGCATGCCTTTTCTGCCACATCTAATGGGGTGATCAGATGGGGAGGTGTGGTACCTTATATAAACCAACCTTGTTGGTCTGTTGTTTGAAGAACAATATAACATCTTGCATCTTGTAGCATTTTCTTCACCTCCTTTCTTGATTTTTTTCTTTTTTAAACATTATAGCAGCATGAATAAATAGCAAATCTTGCTTTGATCTCTGCAAGCAGCCAAGCTTCATTGAATGGTTTTGTTGGATTCAAGTGAGCCCTTTTTCTCCCTCCAGCCAACGATCTTGTCTTACAAGTTTATGGAGCAAGTTCAGAAAAAAAGATAGAACATAAGAGCAAGCAAACCACTTTCGTGCTGGCAACCATCCGCTGTCCACAAAGTCAGTGCATTTTGCTAATTATCTATTTATTTCTGTGTTTCTTGGCTAGCACTCTTAGTCATCAGATAGGCCAGATGGCAGAGACATTGGCACCTGTAATGAGAAAAGAGATAAATATTGAAGAAATGCAATTATTTTTGCACTCTTTTCTCACTATCCATATCTTACTCTAGTTCTTTAGTTCTTTTTTTAGTTTTTTTCATTCTTTAGTGCATTCATTCATTTTTCAGCTGCTGATACTGAAAAGTATGACTGAGTTGATATTTCTGCAACTTCCTTAAAGGAACCTGTAGTGTGAAGGAATTCTCTAGAACAGACATGTCAAACTCGTGACGTCACGTGATGTCGCGCAACGTATCAGGAGAGTTTTGCCATTGCCGGCAATGGGTTCTGCATGAAGCATCTGGCCTGCAGGCCGGCAGTTTGACACCCCTGTTCTAGAAGGTACCATCACACAACAATGAGCCAATTATCTTGATCATATTATTCAGGATTTATCTAGAAATCAACCTAACTCCCATCATTGGAAGAGGGAAATAGCTGATCTGGAGGTGACTGGAAGAAAAATGGTAACACCTGTGGTGTAATGAATGGCAATCTGTATGACTTAGATAGGTGCTGTTAAAAAAAGTATCACTTGCTCAAATGTGCTAAAAAGGTAAGTGTTCAAGAAAGTCAAGAAGTTGTACTTTCTCTGATTATATTTCCTGAAAGATCTTCATTTTTTTCTTATATATTTGGATTTACTATTCAAAAATATTTTGTTATACTAAATATATAAGCATGAAGAAATGGAAAGCCACATTTTCTCAGCAACAAATTTTAGTAGTTGTGGGGATGCAGATTTCCAGGCACACTTACTAAGAGAAAGATTTGTAGTTCTGCAGATTGATTATATTTAATTATCTTTTTAATCATTTCATTTTCCTTAGTTTTATTTACTGTTCTTTGATCTAACAAAATGAAATTCAATGGTGAAAAAAGCAAGGTTCTACATTTAGGCAAGAAAAACCAAATGCACAAGTACAGCATAGGTGGCACCATGCTCAATAGTAGTAACTGTGAGAGGGACCTCGGAGTCCTAGTAGACAATCACTTAAATATGAGCCAGCAGTGTGCGGCAGCTGCCAAAAAGGCCAACACAGTACTAGGCTGCATTAACAGAGGGATAGAATCAAGATCACGCGAAGTATTAATACCACTCTTCAATGCCTTGGTAAGGCCACACTTGGAATACTGCATCCAGTTTTGGTCACCACGATGTAAAAAAGATGTTGAGACTCTAGAAAGAGTACAGAGAAGAGCAACAAAGATGATTAGGGGACTGGAGGCTAAAACATATAAGGAACGGTTGCTAGAATTGGGTATGTCTAGTTTAACGAAGAGAAGGACAAGGGGGGACATGATAGCAGTATTCCAATATCTCAGGGGCTGCCATAAAGAAGAGGGAATTAAGCTATTTTCCAAAGCACCTGAAGGCAGGACAAGAAGCAACGGGTGGAAACTAATCAAGGAGAGAAGCAACCTAGAACTAAGGAGAAACTTCCTGACAGTGAGAACAATTAATCAGTGGAACAGCCTGCCTCCAGAAGCAGTAAATGCTCCAACACTGGAAGTTTTTAAGAAGAGACTGGACAGCCATTTGTCCGAAATGGTGTAGGGTTTCCTGCCCGAGCAGGGGGTTGGACTAGATGACCTCCAAGGTCCCTTCCAACTATTATTATTCTCAATCATCGCACAGTCAGCCAGATGTTCAGACTGGATTTGGTATTTTGTCTACCTATCGAGTCCTTACCCAGGACCTGGGATAGGCAGATGTGGATGTTTGATGGTATTACAGGTATCGTCGCAGGATGGAAGCAGTTCCTAATAAGGCCGCCTTTTGCAATTGACTAATAGCAATTTGTCAATGCCAATGGTGTTCAAGTGGTGCTCCAGTTGTTTTGGGATTGCACCCAAGGAGCCTATGACTATTGGTACTACCCTTGCTTGCTTTTGCCACAGTCTTTCTATTTCTATTTGTAGGTCTTTGTATTTTGTTATCTTCTCCAGTTCTTTCTCTTCTATTCTGCTGTCTCCAGGCACTGCCACGTCCACTATCCAGACTTTTTTGTCTTTCTTATCGACAATTGTTAAGTCTGGGGTGTTATGTTGCAGGTGCTTGTCTGTTTGAATTCTGAAGTCCCAGAGCAGTTTAATTTTATCATTTTCTATGACTTTCTCTATTTTATGATCCCACCAGTTTTTGCTTACAGGCAAATGATATTTTTTGCAGATCTTCCAATGCACCATTGTTGCTACTTTGTCATGCCGCTGCTTGTAATCAGTCTGTGCAATCTTCTTGCAACAGCTTACCAAGTGGTCCACTGTTTCTTCAGCTTCTTTGCATAGGCGGCACTTACTGTCTGTTGCTGTCTTCTCAATTTTGACTTTGTATGCATTTGTCCTTAAGGCTTGGTCTTGTGCAGCCAGAATTAGTCCCTCGGTCTCTTTCTTCAATTTTCCTGCTCTTAGCCATTGCCAGGTCTTGTTATTATCTGCTTTCCCAGCTATTTTTTTAATGTATTGGCCATGTAGTGCTTTGTCTTCCCATGCCTCTATTCTGTTCTTCATTTGGTCTTTCTTGTAGGCCAGTTTGGTCTCTCCAGTAGTTAGTAAGCCTTCCTGATATACTAATTTCAGTGCATCTTCATCATTGTTCTTCAGATATTCTTCCAAAGCCATTTTTTCTTCTTCAACCATCTGATGTACTTGTAGCATTCCACGCCCACCTATTTGCCTTGGTAGATAAAGTCTATCAATGTCACTGCGTGGATGAAGGGCATGATTCATTGTCATTATTTTTCTGGTCTGCCTATCCATTGCTTTTAGTTCTGCTTGAGTCCAGTCCACTATTCCAGCTGTGTACCTAATGACTGGGATTGCCCAGGTGTTGATTGCCTTTATGGTATTTCCTCCATTGAGTTTGGATTTTAAGATCTTCTTCACTCTCTTGATGTATTCACCTCTAATCTTTTTCTTGACTTCAGTGTGCTTGATGTTGTCAGCTTGAAGGATACCCAAGTATTTGTAGTACTCTTCCTCATCCAGACTCTTAATGTTATTTTCGTGGGGCATCTTGATTCCTTCAGTTTTCACTATTTTTCCTTGTTTGATAGTAAGTGTGGCACATTTGTCCAAGCCAAACTCCATTACAATATCTTGGCTATATATACGGACAGTGTTGAGCAGCGATTCTATTTCAGATGATGTTTTTCCATACAGCTTCAGATCATCCATGTAAAGGAGGTGGGATAGTCTGGCAGATGTTTTTGATGTTTGATAGCCATGTCCTGAGTTATTCAGTATTGTTGACAGAGGAAACAGTGCAATAACAAATAGTAATGGTGATAATGAATCTCCTTGAAATATTCCTCTCTTGATATTAACCTCTCCCAGCTCTCACCATTGATCTGCAACTGTGTCTTCCATTGTGCCATCGATCTTTGCACAAATTTTCTGATGTTTCTACTTACTCCTGTTATTTCTAGGCACTTGATTATCCAGTCATGTGGCAGAGAGTCAAATGCCTTTTTGTAGTCAATCCATGCCACATTCAGGTTGGTCTTCCTTCTCTTGCAGTTTTCCAAGATCATTTTGTCTATTAGGAGTTGATCTTTTGTTCCTCTGCTATTGGGGCGGTTTCCTTTCTGCTCAGGTGGAAAGAGATTGTTTTCAACTAGATGCTGTTGTACTGCATCAGCTACCACACCAGTTAGTAATTTGAAAGTTGTTGGTAAGCAGGTAATTGGCCTGTAGTTACCTGGTGTTGCCCCTTTGCTGGATTTTTCATTATTAGGTAGGTTTTCCCAGTTGTTAGCCACTTTTCAATTTCTCCTCCTTGTAGTATATTGTTGAATTGCTTGGCAATGAGTGGGTGTATAACAGTTAGATGTTTCAACCAAAACCCATGCAGTTCATCTTCACCTGGTCTATTATTATTATTATTATTATTATTATTATTATTATAACTAAACATATGTTTGCTTTACAGAAGGATGGGAACTTTGTGTTCTCCAAGGATTTTGAACGGCAAACAGCTGAAATTCCTGTCAGCATGGCAGTGATCAAGGATTATGAAATGGTGTAATGTTTGGAGAATGCTATGTGGCCACCTACTTCCAAGCTTTCCAGCTACTTTAACAACTTTATTATACTTTTACTGAATGAATCAATGGCTTGAAAAGACTTGTGAAAGAAACCTACTTATTTCCCAAGTTCAGTTTTTTAGATTTATTCTTACATTTCCCTTTAATGCATGCCCACGTAAGCCTTCAAGTTGATGTAGACTCCTAATGATAGCTTGGATAAGTCTGCAGTTTTATTGGCAAAATTTTTAGAATTGGCTTGCTATCCTAGGGTTGAGAGGGAGTAACTGGTTCAAGATCACCCAATTGGCTTTATGCCTAAGGCAGAGCTAGAACTCACAGTCTCTTCTTTTCTAGCTTAGTGCTTTTAAACACTAGATCAAAGTGACATTTCCCTAATCATGCATAAACTTACCCTGGTAAAAAGTCCTTCCTTCCTTCCTTCCTTCCTTCCTTCCTTCCTTCCTTCCTTCCTCCCTTCCTTCTCCACCATCCTTCCCTTCTGCCTCTGTAGCTATAGGTGGCTATAAAGTCAAAAGAATTATCCAGGCGCGACTATACCAGGGGTAGCAATCTTGGATCTTTTATGACTCGTGGCTTCAACTTCCAGAATTCCTACCCCTGGACTATACATTTCATACTGTGAAGAAAGATAAAATTGATTGGTAATCTGACAGATTAGTTGTTTCTTTTAATAAATTGTAGAAAAAAATGACTTTCTTAATCCTGGGCATATCTGAACTGCACTTTTATACTGCTCCTGTCCTGTAGTCACACTAGCCTCATTTTAATATAGGTTTAAGGTATTTTATATAGTTTACTAATACTTTTGCTGTATCTTGCAAGGTATTCAGTTTAAACAGCAGATTACCAAGTCCCCCATTGAGTAATGTTTCGGCTGCTCTGCCTTCCAACTTTCCATGTCAGGAAGGTTATAGCTCAGGGTTTTCCTTCCTGCGAGTTGGTCTTTCTGGACATATATACTTGTTTATGTATTCAAAGTCCAGCAGACTTTTTTAATTACTATGTTTAATTTTCTCACTATTTATCACTTGGCTTAAAAAAGGAAGTCCAGTGGTGTATTGTTTCAAGATTTTTCCCATCAGTTGAGATAGAAGGTTATCACAATCTATTCTAAAATAACCCATGGTCAATGAATGTCTTATGAATCAGATGTTTTGCCCATGAATTAAACTGTTTGTGTCTACATTGCAGGCTTAATTGATTCTGTCTATTATAGTATCACCTTTGGTTACTTATTGTGCATTGTACTTGTGTTGGTTTTCTCCTGTGGGTATGAATAGCAGAGATACAGGCCATGCCTTTTCTTAACAAAATACTGTCAGGTGACTCAGAATCTAAGACTAATTGATGTCCTGCAATGCATGGTGCTTAGCAACTGGAAGAGGAAGCAAAGAAATTTGCTTTCCCCCCACTTCTGAACACAAAAAGGACTGCAATGTATTTAATTATTGGTATTTCTGTCCTAACCCAAACATCAAGGCCTAGGATATATTATTATGTATTTATGTTCTTTTATGATAATGTAGCACAATTATTTTTATCATATCTTTAGCATCCAAATCCTTACCATAAGCCGGACAGTCATAACAAGCTAAACTAACACAGTAAGTAATAGAGTGAAAATGTAGATAGTACTTCAGTACCAAAAGTAATCCAAGAACTTTATACAGTCCATCTTTGGATGCCCAGACTTACATATGCCTACCATATGGCACATAAGGAGTCTATGTGTCTGTAATCCAAGAACACATTTTGGTTGCGACAAAGTTCTCTACATGGGGCTGCCCTTAGAAAGTATCTGGAAGTTCCAATTGGTTCAAAATGTGGTATTCCACATGGTTTTATGCAAGCCCAAATTTGCATGCATGCTACCTCTGTTGTGGGAGCTATATTGTTTGCCAATTTGCTTCTGGGTCCAATTCAAGGTGCTGGTTGTTACCTTTAGAGTCCTACAAGACTTGGGGGAAAGTTATTTTAAGGACGGTCTTTTCCTTGTTACATCTACCTGAACAGAAAGGCAAGGTGTTTTATGAGTCCTCTTTCTTAAGAAGATCCATCTAATGAGACCAAGAGAAAGGCCTTCTTTGTGGTGGTTCCCTCCCTGTGGAACATCATCCCCATGGAGATAAGATTGAATCCCAGCTTGATACATTTTGAAAGGCCTTGAAACATCGTTTTGCCAGCAAGCCCAGGCCTCAGAGTGATATGGAGCCCATGTGGTTTGTTTGATTGTTATTGTCAAGGAAGTGGGGGTTTATTGTGTTTCAGTTTGGGCATTTTACTTCTGTAAGCCACCCAGAGTCACCATGACTGACTTGGATGGACATATAAATTACACTAATGAGCAACATGGGAAGCAGAAGGAAATAGAATTTGGACAAAATACCAGGCAAGGATGTATACTTGGTGTGCCATAGGGAATATGGGTAAGTGATCTACCACCCACAGACTGCAAGCCACCTGAGAATTACATTCATGAGGCCTCTGGTCTAATTTCAAAATTCTTATGCAAGAAATTGTTTGGCTCTCTAGTGAAATTTACTTCTTCCTTCCTTGAAGTTTCCTATGCCACAGATAGAAGAGTGTTTCAGAAAAGAAAAAAAAAATGAAAAAGATGCCTCATTTAAGAGACCAGAATGTTGAGTTGGGATAATGTAGCAAATAACATGGCTTTTTTAAAGTTAAAGCTTGTTGAATTGGCTTGGTAAGTACCTGGCAACCAGCACATGTTTCAACATGTGATTGTGGAGCAACTCTACCAGTTAACCATCTGTTGGTGTTTATCTCTATAGGTTCCTTTTGAAGTGTTTGGAGGCCTAAACATGGGATTCAAAGTAGTCCTTGATTAATGATCACAACTGGGCCTGGAAATCTTGTGGTTGTTACCTGACTCAATTTTACAAATGTTTTGTAATGGTTGTTAAGCAAATTACATGGCCTTTAACTGAACTACTTAAGTTGTTAAGCAAAGTAACTCCATAGCATATCCAATGGATGTTTTCTGCCCTTTTTGGTGGAAAATGGCAAAACAGTAACAAACCTCAATCACGTGTTCATGGGACATTGAAACCTGTCATAATGCCTAAAATCATGTGACTGCAGGGTATGTATATGCAGTCATAACTTTGAGAATGGGTTGTAATGGCTGGTCATTAAGTGACCAGTCGTTAAATAAGGACTACTGTATCTCACTATGAGAATACTAGTGTAGAATAGAATTCTTTATTGGCCAAGTGTGATTGGACACATAAGGAATTTGTCTCTGGTGCATAAGGTCTCAGTGTCCAGATAGTCCTCAACTTACAGACACAATTGAGCCCAAAATTTATGTTGTTAAGTGAGACATTAAGTGAGTTTTGCCCCATTTTACAACCATCACCACAGTTTTTAAACATATCACTTCAGTTGTTAAGTTAGGAACACAGTTTTTAAGTGAATCTAGCTTTCCCATTGACTTGGCTTGTCAGAAGGTCACAAAAGGTGATCATTTGATCCAGCAATACTGAAATAATCATAAATATGCCAAGCATCTGAATTTTGATCACATGATCATGGGGATGCTGTAAAGGTCATAACTGAAAAATTGTCATAAGTCACATTTTTCAGGGTTGTTGTAACTTTGAATGGTCACTAAATAAACTGTTGTAAGTCAAGGACTGCTGTACATGTGCTAATATAACATTAATATATAACACTAGTATAACTTTTCATTGTTATATTATATATTATACTATATGGTATAACTTTGTATATGTTATACTAATATAACATTCGATGAAAAAGAATCATAAGACTGTATGGATAGTGGCTTTATAAACTTTTTTTTAATTAACGGAGGAACCAGACCTATTTCTATCTTTACTTATATCTTTGATTTTTCCTACCTAAATGAAAAACTTTGCTTTTCTCCACATTAAAACTCATTTTGTTGGATAGGGCCCATTGTTCCAGTTTGTCAAGATCTTTTTGAATCCTGAGTGTGTCTTCTGGGGTGTTGGCCTGACAGTTTAGTGTCATCTGCAGATTTGATGAGTTCCCCTTTTATTCCCTCATCTAAGTCATTGATGAAGATATTGAAGAGTACTGGGCCTAAGTTGGAACCTTGTGGTACCCCACTGCTTACTTCTCTCCATGTGGATGTAGTACCATTGGGAACTACTCGTTGAGTACAGTTTGTCAGCCAGGTACAAATCCATCTGGTAGTGATATTGTCTATCCACCTTTTTCTAGCTTACCAAGCAGTAGATTGTGGTCTACTTTGTTGAATGTCTTACTGAAATCTAAGTATACTATGTCCACAGTGTTTCACTGATCTACTAATTTGATCACTTTATCAAAGAATGAAATAAGATTGATTTGGCATGATCTGTTTTTAACAAACCCATGCTGGCTATCAGTTATAACTTTGTTTGCTTCTAATTCTTCGCAGATCTGTTTTTTGAGTATCTTTTCCAGGATCTTCCCAGGTACTGATGTTAGACTAACTGGGTCTGTTTTTTTCCCTTTCTTGAAGATGGGAACCACATCACCCCTTTTCCAATCCTCAGGTACTTCTCCAGTGTTCCAGAATTTTTGAAAGATATGGTGGAATGGTTCTGAGATAACATCTGACAGCTCCTTCAGAACTCTTGGATGTAATCTGTCAGATTATATCAAGGTTGGATAGATGTTCTCTTACCATTTTCTTGCTTATTTAAATTTTTGTTTCTAATTTGTCTTTTGCAGTATTTTGGGGGGGTATGTTATGCTATAATTTCTTTTTGTGTGAAGACTGATGCAAAGAATGAGTTAAGCAGCTCTGCTTTCTCTCCATTGCTTGTTACTTCCTTGCCATCTTCTCTCTTTAGTGGACCTACAGTTGACTTTTTTCTTGTTATTAATATGTTGAAAGAAACTTTTTTATTATCCTTGATTTCTGTTGCAAGTCTTTGTTCATTCTGAGCCTTTGCTTTCCTGACTTTGTCTTTGCATGTTCTGGCTTTCTGCTGATAATCAGCCTTAGTTATTTGTCCCTCTTTCCATTTTTTGTACTTTCCTTTTTGTCTTTCAGTTTGTTGAGAGATGTTTGTGCAGCCATGCTGGTTTCTTCTTGACTTTCTTGTTTTTCTTTTTCAGTGGTATTATGCGGATGTGGGCTTTTATGATTGCATTTTTTAGAGTTTTCCAGGCTTCTTGAGTTGTTTTCCCTTTAGAATTTTCATCCATCATCTTTCCTAGGTTCTCTCTGAGTTTGTTAAAATCAGCTCTTTTGAAGTTTAAGACATTGGTTGAATTATTTTCTATTGTTTGTGTTTACATTATGTTGAAGTCCAGTATGACATGGTCACTTTCCCCCAAGGTTCTAGCAACTTCAACTCTCTCATCATTTCTACTCTATTAGTAAGAATTAGGTGCAGTATAGCTTTACTTCTAGTTCCCTCCTCTACCTTTTGGATGACAAAGTTTTGGACTAGGTTGGTTAGGACTCCGTTTGATCTCCCACTTGCTGAAGTCCAAAAGAAGGAACTGGAGGGTTGATACAACTTCCTTATCTTAATATCCATTGGATACATTTTCTCTAGAACTGTTTACAAATTACAATTACATAGGATTATTCACATCCTAATACAGAAGATTCCCATCCTAATTATTCACATCCTAATACAAAGATTCTCAAAGTGAATATGAAGATAAAACCAGAAACTTTTCTTTTGCATTTAATAAAAAAAGACTTGGGGGGAAAATTGGGAACTTTGATTTTATATACGTTGACGGCAGCAAGATTACTTTATGCACAAAAATGGAAGGACACTTTGATTCCCACAATGGACGAATGGCTGCAAAAGTTGATGGAGTTAACAGAGATGACTAAATTGACTGCTTTGATTAAAGAAAAAAACACAATTACTTTTGTTTCTACTTGGAAACTGCTTCTGGACTTTGTGCTGGAGGTGGAAAAAAATGAAACTTTGATTTTGGGTTTTACGAATTAGAAAGGTTTGTTGTTATAGAAATGGCTAGCTTATACTATTATGTAAAAGTAAAAAGTTGAGGCTTAATGCTATTATTTTATTCTATTGCACCAAAG